GTCCTGTTGTTTTCTCCTCCAGATTGTTCATCCAGCCTATCTTATTTAGACAGACCTGCGGAGATAATAACATATACAAAAACAAGACATAGCAAAACCAAGCAACAATATACAACAAATCAATAACAAACCAATGACAAAAAACAAAACAAGAAAGAAAAGCTTGTAGTTAGTTCAAGGACTGTTTGTTGGCCTTTAGGAGTGTTTTCTGTCTCATAGTGGGGCTGGCTATGTGGTCCTCTCTGTGAACTGGCTGCTCTGAGCAGGAACATCATCCTCAAGGCCTGGCCTGGTACCACCCTTTTTAATAAAAACATTGTAAAATATAACAAAAAATTGACCATTTCAGCTTTTTTTCTTAAGCACACCTTTGATTTTTATTAATCTATCAGGTTGACAAACATTTTTTTGGACCAAGCCAGATCATAAATATTTTTGGCTTTGTAGGTAAAAGTCTCTCTTGTGAGGACTTATTTCTTATTTTGTAGCTTGAAAGCACATGAAGACAATCCACAAATGAATAAACTTGACCGTGTTTCAATAATTGGCAGGTTGAATTTGACCCATGGGGACATAGTTTGCCAACCTTGATCTAACTCTTTGTTTCCATCAGTAATGTTATAGAGCTAATTTCTAAAACTATGGATATAAAGATCAATGGTGATTTACAAAATGAGAATTTTAAGTTATAGCAAAAGCAAACCCTTGAGTTCTTTTAATGTTAGAAAAAAATCAATAGTTGAAGTTGCTTTTGGCATGGTTTTAAGTTTCTTGACAGAAAGTGGGCATATGATAATTCATCTTAAGTTCTTAACATGAGCAAAATGCCTGTGATAGGGAGATCCTTTTGAACAAATGAATGAATGATAAGGACCCTGAATGCTAGCCAGATACCAGCTTGATCAAATTGTAGACCAAATTCCGTTTTTAAATTTTTGGCCCTTTGTTCCCTGTTGTTTCCAAGGATCACAGATTATATGCACTGAGTTGGAAAAGAAGCGAAAAAGTAAATTTTCAACTGAAGACAGGACAGAAACCAGAAAGCTTCAGAGTAGAGGGTGATTTTACCACCTCATTTCAACCATTGTTATGTGTATAATTTAGTGCCTTTTATAATGTTCAACGTGCAACCATCACCATTATTTATTTACAAAAGTGTTCACCCTTAACAAACTCCATACTTAGACGGTCAGTCCCTTTTTTTTTTCTCCTCAGCTACCCCTGATAACCACTAAGAAACTTTAGTCTATGCATTTGCTTATGTAATTGGGACCATAGAATGTATGTCCCTTTGCATCTGACATTTCATTTAGCATAATGTTTAAAAATGTATCCAATGTTATAGCACATATCATAACTGCTTTTTTATTTATGGCTGAATAATAGTCTATATTTGTATACTACGTCTTATTTATACAGTTATCTATTGATGGATACTTGTATTGTTTCCACGTTTGGGCTACTATGAATAATGCTATAGTGAATGTTGGTATATCTCTTTGAATCCCTGCTTTCAATTTTTTCAGGTATATATCTAGATATAAACTTGGTGGGCCATATGATAACTCTGAATGCTGTAAACAGTAAATGCTCGAGATATTAACCAAAAGATTGTGGTTTGAGTTCACCCAGAGGTGCTCAGGTAAAAGGCCTGGAGATCTAATCCCAGAGATCAGGCATTAAAAACCCTGCAAAATGCAGTTCAACTCCAACACAGTGTTTAGAGTTGTACAATACAGTAACAACATCGCTTCATTACTCATGATCTAAGGTCCGCCCCCCCCCACCTCCTTAAAAATAAATTGGTTTAGTTGTTATTCAGAGGTTAATAAGAGCATTTCAGACCATTGTAGTATCTAATACTCCATTTTTTCTCTTTAAAAAGTTGTAAAGTGTACTAAAAAGCACAGAAAACACAGTTTAGTGAAGAATTATAAAGTAACCCACTGCGTGAAATTAACAGTATCCTCAAAAGCCCCCTAGGAACCTTGACCAGCCCTAACCTTTCCCTCTCCGTAAGTTAACAATTCCGACTTTTTTTTGAAAGCAGTTTTCTCATTTTTTCTTAAAATATACCATTCATGTTTGGTTTCTGTTTGAAAATCACTCTAACCAGTTGCTGTTGAGTTGATTCTGACTCGGGCGGCCTTTTATGAGGTACGTGTTATGGAGTAGCAGTGTACTTCACAGTGGATTCTGACTGCAACCTGCAGAAGCAGGTCACCAGGCCTTTCTTCCGAGGTACCTCTGAGTGGGCTTGAGTTACCAACCTTGTGGCACTTAGTTGTTTGTGTCACCTTCTGTTCAGCACCATTACCTTCTGTTTAGTACTAGGTAATATTCTTGGAGAAAGATGAGTCTTCTGTTCGTGTAAAGAGTTATAGTCTTAGAAACGCACAGGGGCAGTTCTGCCCTGTCCTGTAGGGTCACTATGAGTCAACGTCAACATGTGATGTTGTGGAAAGATGGAAC